AGTTTTCCAGCAGTACAAATATCAGAAATTCTTTTTTTTAGACTTGTACAACACAAGTCGATAACTTATATGAGCGTACATATATATCGACGCAGCTTTTTGCGAACCACGGCAAAATATTTTAGATTTGGCAAMTATTTTAAATCGACGAGAACTTTTTTGCCACTTTTTCTCACTCCTTTCTGTGTTTTGCGAGTTCGTCATTTTTCCAGCAGTACAAATATCAGAAATTGTTCAATTTATGATTTTCATCGCCGCGAAAAGACGCTTGCCGGCAAAGCCATGATCGGGGATGGTGTTTGCTTTTATGAATGAAGCAAGTGTGCCTGTTGAAAATACGCTTGCGTTCATGAATGAAAATGTTGTTGTTACGTGTTGTACTATAAATTTAGGCATTGGCTATTCGGCTGCCACATTGACGCTGCTGATTGTTGTCTTTTGTTGGTGACATATTTACATGTGTATGTCCATGTATGTATGTAGGGTTGTGTATACATTATTTGCTCGGCAATATGTACATGTATATATATATAGTATAATCGTGTCGTTTGTTTTCATATACTTGTCTATTTATTAGGAAGTTCACTACATTTTTTACGACGTTTTATCCAAAAATAGTTATTTTTACGTTTTTATGTTTGAATCATGAAGTTGATGAAAGTATGCCGGAGCGCTAAACATGTGGTCCTTTCCCTCTACGGTGTCGTAATGGCCGGCTCATTGAGTCGTCACACCGCGTAGTAGCTAGTGAGTGACGGTCGTTGGAGTGAGACGGCAAATGAGTGCTGTCGGCAAAATCAGCTGTGGGCTGGTGTGGCGCAGTTGCCACATCCACTTCCCTTCCAGTGACTTGATCGAAAAGAGAGAGGCACGAATTGTTTTTGTTGGGTTGTGTGGTGATTTTTGAGGTGTGGATTGTTAATTGTCTGTTAWCTCAATGTATGCTGGCTTTAGCATGTCGATTGAGACTGTTTTGTCTGCCTCATTGATCCTGATGATGTAGGTTTTGTTGTCTACACGCTGGATGACTTCATTAGGACCAGTGTATGGTTGTTCCAGAGGCTTCTTGATGGAGTCTACTCTCTTGAAGACGTGGGTGCACGTGTCAAGGTTTTTGAGTAGGAACAGCTTGTGTTTGGTGTGATGAGCTGTTGGTGTTGGCCTGATTGCTTGGATAATTTGCCTGTATTTCCTCACGAATGTTTGTGGATCAGCTGATGTGCTTGCTGTAACAAAGAAGTCACCGGGTATACGCAGTGTAGTCCCGAAAAGCATTTCCGCACAAGGTGTCTCATTGTTGCACGTAAGAGCAGCCTTGAGTGTGCGGTGCCACCGTTCCACCAGACCATTCCATTGAGGATGATACGGTGTCGTTCTGATACGATGAATGCCCAGCATTCGTGAGAGTGAGGTGAACAGTGCTGATTCAAATTGCAGACCTTGATTAGTGGTGATTGTCAATGGTGTACCGAATTGACAAATCCGCTGAGTATAAAAGGCGTGTCCAACTGTCTCAGCTGTCATGTTGTTGAGTGGTATGGCGTGTGGCCATCTACTGAAGCGGTCAATGATCGTCAGACAATATCGAAGGTCCTTGACTCTGGGCAGCTCTATGAGATCCAGGTGGACGTGCTCGAAGCGATTGTCTGGTACGTCAATATGGTTTGGTGTGGTGCGATTGTGACGATGGACTTTGGAACGTTGACATTGTATGTAGTGTCTGGACCAGAGGAGTGCGTCTTTTCTAATACCTGGCCAGACGAATCTTCCGCTGAGTTCGTTGGTTGTGGCCCTGCCACTAGGATGAGAAAGACCATGGATGACGTCAAAAGCCTGGCGTCTGAGTGGAAGATAAGGTCGCACAATATTATTAGTCACATCACATAGTCTATCATGACCTTCCATGTTCAGCAGGTGCAGCTTGAGAGATGTGCTGGATTGGACATCACTAAGCTGGTCATCTTGGAGTTGTGCCAGCGCAATGGTCTCAGCATCAAGYTTGGTTGGCATGGTTATGGCATTGATCCTCGAGAGCGCATCAGACATTTTCTATGCCCTTGGTATGGAAAATCTGAGATGAGAACTGTGAGATATAGATATTGACGTAGTTGGCGAGGTGATGCCTTGTCAGCGTGTTGAGAAAAAACGTAGATGATTGGCTTGTGGTCGGTGAAGATGCTGAAGTTTCTTCCCTTGAGAATGTGCTTGAAAAACTTGATGGCAGCAAAGATGGCCAGAAGTTCACGATCGTACTTGGAGTACCTGGTCTCTGCTGGGCTGAGCTTGCGGGAGAAAAAGGCCAGTGGTTGCCATGAGTCCTTGTGTCGCTGTTCAAGAACGCTCCCAATGGCTACATCCAAGGCGTCGGATCCCAATGAGAGGATGGCGTATGTTGCGAGGAAAGCCAGGCGCGTGGCTTGGATGACACTTCTCTTGCAGTCTTGCCAAGCTTGATCTGCAGAAGGTGTCCACTGGGTTTTAGTGTTGTCCTTCCTTTGTATGGTGATTGTATCTGGGCCGCTTGAGGGATCGCTCGCCGGTAGTAGTTGACGATCACCAGGAAAGGACGTAGATCGCTGACGGTTTCTGGCTTTGTGTAATCGGCGATTGCTTGCGTGCGTTCGGCGGGTGGAGTGTAGCCGTCTTTGTTGATGGTGTACCCGAGGTAGATGATTTCAGACTTGCCAAACTGGCACTTCTTTGGATGGATGGTGAGATGATGTGCACGCAGGACTTCAAAGATGGTGGTGAGATGACGTAGGTGCTGTTCGGCGGACTGAGAATAGACAATCAGATCGTCTATGAAGCAGCCCACGAAGTCTAAATCTCTTAGGATGTTGTCCATACGCCTTTGAAAAGTCTGCGTGGCATTGCGTAGTCCGGGTGGCATACTCAGAAATTCAAAAAGTCCAAATGGGGTGATTACAGCTGTTTTGGCAATGTCTGACTTGGCCATGGGTATCTGGTTGTAAGCCCTAAGACGATGGTGGAGAAAACGGTGGATCCGTGGAGACGATGAAGAATGTCATCCCCATGAGGGACTGGATATCGATCTGGAACTGTATTTGCGTTTAGTTTTCGATAGTCACCTGGTGTGCGCCATCCCCCAGTTTTCTTCGGCACCATATGGATAGGGCTGGCCCAAGGGTTGCTCGATGGACGGATCACGCCATGATGTAGCAGGAGGTCAAAGTCATCTTTAGCTATTTGTATTTTTTCGCCAGTGAGACGTCGTGGGCGCTCAAATACTGGTGGCCCAGTTGTCTCAATGTGATGAGCGACTTCACTGTCAGTGGCTGTGCCGGGATTGGTGCTGGGATGATTTATGTCGATAAATTTGGTGAGTAATTGAAGGTATTTGGCGTCATATGCACCAGGACAGATTGAGCGGTCGATTTTTGAAATGTTATGTACCGTGTTCCCTGAGTTGTGGATGACGTGGTTGTATCGATGAGACATCGTCCTTTGAGATCTAGAAGCAAGTAAACCAGGAAGTCTGCACCGAGAATGGCTGATTTAACATCTGCGATTATAAAAGACCAATTAAATGTACGATGAAGATTGAAATCAAGGGTGATAACTTTTCGACCGTAGGTTCGGATAACGGTCCCGTTGGCTGCGATGAGAGTCAGATCATCTTCTTTGAGCGTGTGAGTGATGGCAGACTTGGGCATGAGAGGGATCACTGATCCAGAATCGACAAGAAATCTCATGTTTGTTGTGCGATCATGAATGTGAAGGCGATGCTCTCTGGTTGGTAGTGTGTTAGCCTCTATGCTGTCGCCGGTCGCCTGGATGGTCGACAGCGAAGTTAGTTTTCTGCCGATGAGTCGAAGGTGCAAGGACGCTCGCACTTTTTGGATCTGGACCCATAGAGACGGTGATAATAGCAGAACTTCTTCTTGTATGAGGCTGGCTCTGCCTTCGATGATGCCTGCTGGAAACGGCGAGGTGCAGGTTAGGGTCGGTCTCGAGTAATTCCCTGGTCCTTGATACAGGTCACCAGATCGGCTATGGCAAGTTTAAGACCTGAAAAGTCCTTTGCCATGCTGGTGAGCAGAGAATTTTCGATTTTGTCGCCCCTGTGGGCTGCCTGGGCAGGCTGGTGATGTGTAGCCATAACGGAATGACCAGTCTGATTTTCCATTAGCTCGTCTGCAACTTCAGCAAGCTCATCTAGAGAGGCATCCCTGAGTAGTTTGAGACACCGTTTGGTTGATGGTGGTAACAATGCCAACCATTTTATATGCAATAAGTCCTCTGAGGCCCTGTAGCCCATTAGAATTCTGAGCTAAATTTTTTATCATCGACTTGAACCTCCGTAAGCGCTCGGTGAAGCTGGCGGTCAGTGTCCAAAGCACTAACGATTTGATTGTAACGTGCTGCGTCATTTGTGATACGGGCCGCCTGCAACACTGCTTCAACCTGAACAAACGACAAAGCAAGCTGGATGGACTAGAACTGCGGGAATTTGTAACTGGACACAGCTACTACTGATACAGTGTTCTGTGTTTCATCGGCGGCGTCACCGATGGTCAGAGTTAGGTCGTTTGTGGTCATGTTCGAAGAGATTGGTGTTAAGACGTTTGGATTGCTAGCGGACGTGTTTAGCGAGTTAAAATTCGCTGATTTGTTGGCGTATCCTCTAATGGCATGTCAATGAATCGATTGAGAACACGTGGTCACTGGTTTGCACAAATATTAGACACTGATGAATGAGAAATTATATCGAGCATGAATTTGCAATTAATATTAACGTTTGCACTTATTTGTCTGTATATTTTGTTAGCTAATGAATATCAAAGAGTTTGAATTTTTAATTATTTGAATTGAATTTGAAGACACGCGGCGCGTCACTACACGTATGGTGAAAACTTAACATTTAACGCGTGGAGAAACAAAGTTTCGAAATCCAATTTAATCACGTCGGGGTCACCAATATAGTATAATCGTGTCGTATAATTGTTATCATATAATTGTCTATTTATTAAGAAGTTCACTACATTTATTACAATGTTTTATCCAAAAATAGTTATTTTTACGTTTTTATGTTTGAATGATGAAGTTGATGAAAGTACGGCGGAGCGCTAAACATGTGGTCCGTTCCCTCGAGTGGTTGAAGTAAAAGAGAAAGAGTCGTCTGTGCGTGGCTGGAGTGTCTGCTTTCTACGGTGTCGTAATGAACGACTCATTGAGTCGTCACGCCACGTAGTGGCTGGTGAGTGACGGTCGTTGGAGTGAGACGGAAAATGAGTGCTGTCGGTAAAATCAGCTGTGGTCTGGCGTGGCACAGTTGCCAGATAAACTTACATACGGATCAGTGTGTGCACATTTTATAACTGTTAAGTGATATAATGATTTAAATTTGAAGTTTACTTACATACATACAAGGGTATATGTAACTGCAGATTAATGATTATGTAAGACAAATATGATGACAAATAAACAAACATACATATGTAGGTATGCACTATCGAGAATGATGACCAATACAGGCTGTGTGCGTTCCAGCCGGCGATTATTAATAGCGAAAGCAATGAGTTCCGTAATACTGTACGCAGCACCAGTATGGATACAGGCAGTGAACATAAAAGCGTATGCTAAACAAATAATTGCAGTGCATATGCTTTCTGCAATTCGAGTAATAAGTGCTTTCCGGACTAGCCGCCAGCATGCCGCCCATTGACATCCAGGGAGATGAACTCGAGCGTCTATATCATCTATCAGCGCCTAAAACAGTATCGGCAAAGACAGAGGAGAGGAACAAGAGCATTAAAATGTGGCAGGAGCGGTGGAATTCCTCATCCAAAGGGCGTTGGACYTACCGASTTATACCGGRCATCCACTCGTGGATAGACAGACGACATGGGGATTTAGACTTTCATCTGACCCAAATACTTAGTGGACATGGGTGCTTTAGAAGCTACCTTTTCAGATTCCACAATRRCATTAGTCCGAACTGTCCGACGTGTACAGAGCATATAGAAGACTCTGAACATATATTATTTTATTGCCCTAGATTTTCAAACACAAGGGAAAAACTAAAAACCACACTCGGTGAAAGTATAACAGTCGATAATTTAACGACACTCATGTGTCAGTCGACTGATAAATGGAAAGCTGTCAGCGAAGCGTCAGCATCCATAATGACAAACCTGAGACTTTTTGAACAAATTAAGCGTCTGTCAGTCCGCACGATAGAGGAGACTTAAATGTCCTGTCCCTCCCACGAAGTAATACTTATTCGGTTGTGCCGTGGGAGAGTCTTGAGTTGGGGGTAGGTTAGGTTTAGCGGATTAAAGTTCCGCACTCCGACTTTCGATGCTTCCCCCTACTATAAAAAAAAAAATATTTAGGTATATGTATATGGTATATGTTGTAACAAATACAATTTTTATTAGCAACAAATATAATACAACAGTAGTTAGCAGAAAAGTATATTGTGCAAATATTAAAGGAATAATAAGAAACATAAGCTGTTCAAGTCCAAACAAACTATAAATATTACTGTGCATATTTATTTTTTTATTAGAATGCTATCAGTTTTACATGCAAAATGATATTCATATCATATACATTTGCTTGTATATAAACGTATAATGCAACTCATAAAGCGCACACATATCATTTCTAATAAGTCATGTCATGATTTCAAATCATAAAGGCGTTGTATTTACTTACATACATACGTGTGTGCTTGCTACATGTGCATATGAATACGTAAGTTTTAAATTATAAAAAGTATGATTTATGTATATACATATATGTATATTACTAGTTTTTTCATATATTACTATAGTATTTTACACAGATACGTATGTATATGTATGTACATATTATATACATATCAAATGTACATGTGTATGTACATACATGTCTACTATATCAAGCATAGGATATAATTAAAAATTTGGTCTTATTTTAACATTGAGTAAAATATTGCCTTATATAATATAGTTAGTTAATTAAGTAAAAAGTAATCAATTTGTGAAAAATAATTTTCAAATCAATTCATATATATAAACGCATAAAAATATAAGCCAAAA